CATTTTTGAGAGAGACAGAGCATGAGTGGGGGAGGGGCAGAGAGAGGGAGACACAAAATCCAAAGCAGGCTCCAGGCTCTGAGCTGTCAGCACAGAGCCCCACGCATGGCTTGAATCCATGAACTGTGAGATCATGACCTGAGCCAAAGTTGGACGCCCAACCAACTGAGCCACCCAGGCGTCCCTATCCATTCATCTATTGATGGATACTTGAGTTGCTTCTATATATTGGTTATTGTAAATAATGCTTCACTGAACACAGGGGTACATATATCTTTTTCAATTAGTGTTTTTGTTTTCTTAGGGTAAATGCTCAGTAGCGGAATTACTGGATCATATGGTATTTCTATTTTTAATGTTTTGAGGAAACTCCATACTGTTTTCCATGGTGGATGCATCAGTTTACATTCCCACCAACAGTGCACAAGGATTCCCTTTTCTCCACATCCTCACCAACACTTGTTATTTCTCTGATTGGAGTTGGGTGCACTAGGCCAAATTGGCCAACTAAACCACATGAGATAGACTCACTATCACCAAGAGTAGTTTGCATCCAAAGACAGGGCAAAGGATGTTGGGCAGGCCAAAGGAATATATCCACAGCACATAGTGCTCTGCCTAACATCCCACAGCATCTGCCAAGACCCCATAGGCATACTTTTTCCACTACTGACACCCTGAGGTAACAAGACCCATGAGGTGACTGCAGAGTCACATGATCAGGTCAGCAGTTTTTTACGTGGAGTAATGAGATTGACATCTTTACTTGGATATTGCATAAGCAGTTCACACACAATGTGTTTAAAATTAAACTCGTCAATTTTCCCAACTAGTTCCTGTGAACTCAATCTTAGTATAATGATAAATGAGACATGGTCACTGCTTTTATAACAACTGTTTATGGAGAGAGATCAAATAGACTTGGTCCTTAACTATAGGCATTTTTGTCATATGAAAAACAAAAGAAATAAATGAAAATAGTACTTTTTTAATGTTTGTTTATTTTGAGAGAGAGAGAGAGTGGAGGAGGGGCAGAGAGAGAGGGGGAGAGGGAATCCCAAGCAGGCTCCACACTGTCAGTGCAGAGCCTGATGCGGGGCTCAATCTCACATACCGTGAGATCATGACTTGAGCCAAAAATCAAGAGTCAGACACTTAACCGACTGAGCTGCCCTGGTGCCCCAGAAAACAGTTCATACTCTATGTCTATTTGGCATAGAATTTTCTCCTGAATACTTTATCATCTTGTAAATTCTCTTTAATGTGGTTATATAACATGTCCTTTATCAGTGAGAAACTTAATAAAGAGAAAGGGTTATTTGATACAACCTTACCTTTTGCTCTCCTATTTGGAGGTTTTATTACCTGTGTAGAAATGTATCTGATACTAGCTGCTTCAGAATTATGTATGATTATGTATGCTCTTTCTCTGGAAGTTACTACAGTATATACAAATACGTTTGTTTGTTTTAGATTTTAAAAAGCCTTTTGAGATACAGAATCTCATTATTAATTTTAATTAAATTGTATGTCTTCATGTAGCCATGGTACCTGCCATATATCAAGCACTACCACTGTACTAGTGCTTAGGGATACAAAAATAAATACACACTACCCTCAAAAAGCTTACGGTTTTTAGTGGAGAGGATAGGTAAACCAACCATCAGCTACAATACATTCTGACATTTGCTGTAGCAGAGTTGATCACGTATTGAAATAAAGTCTTGTCTTATGATTGCACTGTGAATTGTGGTTAAACTAATCTTTTTTACCCCTAGAGTCTTTCTTCAGTTCATGTGGTAGTTTACATAAACTAAATGAAGAGCCACTGATTCCTCCTCCACTTCCTCCTCGAAAAAAGTTTGATCATGATGCTTCAAATTCCAAGGTAGTCAACAGGACTTAGGTTTGCCTTAACTTACTCAACTTATTCAAAGTTGTGAATCTTCAGAACAGTGCTTGTTCTTATAAGAAGTCTGTCGATTATAAGTTGGCTACCCTTTAAGGTTTTAAAACACTTTGGTTTTATTTGAAAAATACTTTAAATAATTGCTTAATTCTTGGAATATTTTTTTCTAAAAAGAGGCTGGGCAGATTCACATATACTTAGAAGTATGTTTTCTTTCTGGTAGAAATGGAAAAAACTTTAGTATTCAAAGCATTCTTGAAACTTTAAACCAGCACTTCTCCAACTTTACTGCTTCAGAATCACCTGGGAGGCTTGTTAAAACCAGATTGCCAGAGTTTCTGATTGAGTAGGTCTAGGGTGGGGCACAACAATTTGCATTTTTTAACAAGTTCCCTACTGATGCTGGTGCTGTTGTTCCTGGATCACACTTTGAGAACCTCACTGGGGAAAGCAGAAGTAGATGACCAGAAAGCAGAAGCTAGGCATTAAGTCCCCTTGGAATTATGTATTTTAATGTTCACAGAACTATACATCCTTTTTACTCACTTGCCTATTATAATTACAAGATAACCTGAGGCTTTATGTTCTAAGATTTCAATTAAAACATCTCATATATAAAAATATTAAACTGGGCCCCAAGTTATACTGGAAGTAAATTATTGATAAATCTGATCATTAAATTAGGTTAACCTATTTTGAACCTCTCGATTTAACTGAACACATAAGAATTTTTCAGTCTTTTGAAAGCTTTCTTAACAGATTTTTCAGGAGAATGGAGGTATAAGTTAATTTTTTTTTTTTTTTTTAGGGAAATACGAAATCTGATGATGACCCCCCTGCTATTCCACCAAGACAACCTCCTCCTCCAAAGGTAAAACCCAGAGTTCCTGCTCCTACTGGTGCATTTGACGGGCCTCTGCATAGTCCACCTCCACCACCGCCGAGAGATCCTCTTCCTGATACCCCTCCACCAGTTCCCCTTCGGCCTCCAGAACACTTTATAAACTGTCCATTTAATCTTCAGCCACCTCCACTAGGACATCTTCACAGAGATCCAGAGTGGCTCAGAGACATTAGTACCTGTCCAAATTCACCAAATACTCCTCCTAGCACACCCTCTCCAAGAGTACCACGTCGATGCTATGCGCTCAGTTCCAGTCACAATAACCTTGCTCATCCTCAAGCTCCCCCTGTTCCACCAAGGCAGAATTCAAGCCCTCACCTACCAAAACTGCCACCAAAGACTTATAAACGGGAGCTTTCACACCCCCCATCGTACAGACTGCCTTTGCTAGAAAATGCAGAAACTCCTCAATGACCTTAGCCATATGTAGTCATTGACACTGGAATGGTATTTGTAAAGGTTTTTTTTTTTTTTAATTTATTCAGAAAAAGGCATAGTATTTTAGTACTTTTTACAAATAATGCTCTTACAAAAATGCTACTGATCAAATAAGCTTTTAAAAATCCGAAAAATAAAAATACAGAAGTCCTTTACCATGATCCTCAGGTGATCAGTAGCATTGCCTTGTTTTGGATCCTCAGTGCTGCCAAAAGGCCAGTATAAAGAATTTATATTTGCACTGTAGACTCTGCTAAAATATGGTTTAAAGTGACATTGATTGCACTGAAAAAGGGGATAGTGCATTTGTGGAATTTTTCAAATTTGAGTAATAGATGCCTTTTTAAGGCAATGAATTTACACAGATTTAGGGGGTGTGTGGTATTACTGATTTTTAAAACTCTTTGACCATCTTCTAGTTTTTACTTCTAGTTTTTACATGTAGGAGAATTGTGAAAAACACCCACTGTTCTTAAACTCTTAAATGCCATGTCTTAAATGCCAGAATTTGCTGCTGAAGACAAAAATGAAAAATAGAATGAAAATAGTAGAATGCACTGTAAGTGTTTATTATTTTGTCACAATGTATACAGAGACTACCTAACCCAATCATAGAGGGAGAAAGGGCATGTATCTCATTCAGATGTGCCTTTTGTTTTTGCAGACTATGGTGTCTTTAGCTAATGAGTTGTCTATTGTTTTGGAAAACAAAGTTAATATGCCATGTATGTACAGTTTTGTTTATATTGTATATTTAAAGAGAATGCTAATAACCTATATAAATTTAAGTGACTCGAGGCCTATAATACAATCTGCTACTTTACTAATTCAGAAATTCAGAGGAAAAATTCTTATGGCATAGGAACCAACTGCTTTGCCCTCAAAACCTAGTAACTTTATAAATTTCATGTTAACTAAAAATTTTTTAAATATTTTTTTTTTACATTGGTAACATTTAAACCAGCAAATACTTAAAGCTTTATTGAACTTTTTATTCAGAGAAGTGAATAAAACTTTTATTTGCCATTTGGACTCCTGGGTTCAAAGTGATGAAAAAGCGTGTTTTGCTAATAGTGTTGTAGCAGCAGTTGTAAAGTAGCCAAAAGCCACGTTGTTTATTTACTGGTCTGTGGCCTTTTACTGTGCTTTGTATCAGAGTTCTTAACAAGATTAATAAATTACCCCAGTCTTAATTTTTAAAAGATTTTTAAAGTATGTGTTTTCATTTTAAGAAACAAGGGGAGAGATTGTTGAGTTCTGTGGAAATAAATACACCTACATTATTTACAATATTTTGTGCAATTTACCTTACATAATCCCAAAGAATTTAAGTGATGTAAATTTTAGAAGGATTACTTTTGTCTTAACCTTCAAAATGCAGTCAGCAAGCTTCCAGCAACTATTTTTATGCATTCAGATGAAAAATTAGAAACATGCTAGGGAACTCTTGATAAGGATTATAGCCTTCCTTGGTAGGATCTTGGAACCTGCCTGGGTTTAAGGCCAATAACTACCATGCGAATTAGTCTCCAGGTAAAAACACTCTGAGGTTGCCTTTGTTTTTTAAAGAGCAGTTTATAATCTTAGCTTTGGAAGAGTGATTTAAACTACCTGTTTGTTAGGCCTGACTTGTAATTGAGCGGAGTGAGGCAGACCAGCACGCTGGGGAAGCGGGTGGCCTCGTGTTCGACCACGCCCAGGTAACGCTGCCTTCCCGGCTTTGTGCCTTTGCGCACGCGCTGTGGAGCCCAACTTCGCCGCTAGGAGGCGCCGGGCCCTCTTCAGGTCGGCCCTTGGGGCGGTGCGTGTGGATGTGACGTCACCGCGCACGCCGCCTCTTGTTGCCGGGCAGCGATGGCGGCTACCCTGGAGTCCTCCGTGGAGGACCCACTGCGGAACTTTGTTCGAGTTTTGGAGAAGCGAGATGGCACAGTGTTACGACTGCAGCAGTATGGCTCTGGCGGCGTGGGCTGCGTTGTTTGGGATGCTGCCATTGTTCTTTCTAAGTACCTGGAAACGCCCGAGTTTTCCGGCGATGGGGCCCACGCTCTGAGCCGGCGGTCGGTGCTGGAACTGGGCTCTGGCACAGGGGCCGTGGGGCTCATGGCCGCTACCCTCGGGTAAGAGCTGGCAGGAGGGGGCGCCGCTTTGTTCGGGAAACCCACATTACTGGTTTACCATACTTGTGCCTACACCTCAATCCACCTTATTTTACAGGGCTGATGTTGTAGTCACAGATCTTGAAGAATTGCAAGATTTGCTGAAGATGAATATTAATATGAACGAGCATCTTGTCACTGGTTCTATTCAAGCCAAGGTACTGAAATGGTTTGTATGGCCTTTCAGCTTGTTTTAAGTAATGATTTGTAGTTTGCTTTAAATTGCATTTCACTAAAAGCATAGTTAATACGAAGGGGACTTTTCAGGCCTTGCTTATAAAAACTGTATTTTAAATTATTAAAGCAACAAATAAAATATTTGGTTGACATTTTTAAGGGGGGAAGAAATAGAAGACTTGTCTTCTCCACCAGACTACATACTGATGGCCGACTGCATATACTACGAAGAGGTAAGTACTCAGTGGAGCGAAGTGCCCTTCCTTTAGAAGTGGTACCATGACTGGTGGATTTCATAGTGCACATTTCTTCCCATTTTAACATCTCTAAATGCAGGATATTTGTCCTAAAGTTGATGACACAGTAAAGAGAAAATAAGTTTTAAGGAACTGTATATGTACACTCATGATAAACATATATACCTCTGAAACAGTTGAGAAAAGTGTCATGTGCATTTTACTAGAAGCTTCTGTAAGATTTTAAAAGGATTTTGCCATTTGGATGTTATGAAAAGCCAAGTTTTTTAAAGCTCTTCCTCGTGAACATGTTGACCATGACATTGAGAATTAAGTTGCTTTGTAAAGAATTCATTTTTCTGTGGCAAAATTATTCAGAATGATTTTTAAAAATCCGTTTGTATAGCATTGTGGGCATCACTCATTTTTAAAATAACGAGGGTTGAGCTAACTTATGTTCAAGGTATTGTCAGACTTGCCTTTGTGGGCAAAATCCTAAATTAAAATAGATTAAATAAAATTAATTTTTTAAGGGTGAAGTCAGTTCCATTTGTTTTCCCATGGGCATTCCAAAATGCAGTCACTTAACTCCTCTCTTTGGAAATTGAAATCAGTGTAATGGTTGATTAGTTAAGAGAAGTTTACCAGTCATTAGTTACAGAGCTTTAACCACGTGTACTTTGTTGGATTGATTCAAAGATGGATAAGTTGGAGGGGAATTATAATTACTCTCCACTTCCCCTGCCCCCTTTGTATAGTAAAAATATAAATTTTTAAAAATCATAAATAAAAACTATATCCTTTTTTGAACAGTCTTTGGAGCCATTGTTGAAAACTCTAAAAGATCTTAGTGGATTTGAGACTTGTATTATATGTTGTTATGAACAACGAACTATGGGAAAAAATCCAGAAATTGAGAAAAAGTATTTTGAGGTAAGTACTGTACTAGATATGTTTTTGTACTGATTACCCTTCTGTGAGGCTGTATGTGACTGTGTGTTCAAGTATATTATGGTACTCTTGAGTGGGGAAAACATTCTGGTTGTATGAACCCAAGGAGAGGATCTTTCATTGCCCACCGTTCTATTAAGCCTTCCACTTTTTTCATCTTTTCTAATCCTTTATTTCTTTTTCTTTCTAATTAGGTGATCTAGTATTTAGAGAACAATCTAAAATAATGTTTCTTGATTAAACACTGTGCTAGCTTTGGGGAACATATTGATGTATGTATTACTTTTGGAGTATACATCATGGAAACATTGATATATGTTTTTACCTCTGTGGTTTTCTCTATGTTTTTATGAAAGCTTTGACCAAGATATCGTATCTGCTTTTTTTTTTTTTT